GCCTCAGCGGATAGTCATCACTACCGATGTAAGCCTGTTCGGTTGGGGGGCACATCTAGGGTCCCACATGATGCAGGGCTGTTGGTCTCTACAAGAACAATCCCTCAGTATCAATGTTCTGGAACTTCGACCCATCTACCTCGCTCTCCTGAGCTTTGAACGTCTTGTTCTCAGCCGGGATGTTCTGATCCTCACGGACAACATCTCGGCCAAATCACACATAGACAGACTAAGGGGGACGTGCTCAAAGGCTCTCATGCAGGAGTCTTCCCGTCTCAGGCTGTGGGCGGAAGCTCACTTAATGTCTCTTCGAGCGGACTACATTGCCAGGACGGAGAACGTTTGCGCCAATTCCCTCAGCCACAACCCGATAGATCAAGCGGAATGGAGCCTCCCTCTCTTCTCTTCAACCAGTTAACAACACGGTTTGGCTCCCCTCAAGTGGACCTCTTTGCTTCCAGCAGCAATCATCTCATTCCTCATTTTTTCACCCGATTTCTGTCGCCAGGAGCGGAAGCGGTGGACCCTTGCATAGTCCGTGGCCACCTGGCCTCCTCCTTTATGCATTCCCTCCCCTCCCTCTGATTTCCAAGGTAGTTCACAAGCTCTTACAAGAACAGGTGGAATTCATCCTCCTAGCTCCCCACTGCCTTGCTTGCTGCCCGTGATTTGCGGACTTGGTGTCTCTCTCGGTAGCTCCTCCCTGGAGGATTCCCAACGACCAGATCTCATTGCGGCAAGCAACCTGTTCCATCCGGATCCTCAGTCTTACCAACTGACTGCCTGGAGGTTGAGCGGCTCCTCCTGACCAGGTCACTTGTCTCTCCGGACACCATCATCACCATCCAAGCAACTCGTCGGGCTTCTACAGCCTGCGTTTATGATTCAACATGGAAGACCTTCCTATGGTGGTGCAACAGACACAAGCTAGAGGCCTCAGCAGTTTCTGTTGTTCGGCTTTTGGATTTCTTGCAGGAGAGGTTCGCTTCGGGTCTTGCTCCCAACACCCTTCGCCGCCAGGTGGCAGCTCTCTCCTCTGTTCTGACATGTGGTTCTTTGACCCCACTTTCCAAGGAGCCTCTAATTCGGGCCTTCCTGAGAGGTGTTACCAATCTGCGACCTCCTGTCGTCCACCGGTTTCCAACGTGGGATCTCAATAAGGTTCTGACGGCCCTCACCAGGCCTCCCTTTGAACCTCTAAGAGAGGTCAATCTGAAATTTCCTGTCTTTCAAGGTATCCTTTCTGCTGGCCATCACCTCAGCCTGCCGTATTTCGGAACTCGCCCCTCTCTGTCAGTCCGCTCAGACCTCTGTGTCTTCCACAAGGACAGAGTGGTGCTCTGCCTGGATCCCGTCTTCATTCCGAAGGTCAACTCCATCTTTCACAGATCTCAGGAACTCATACTCCCAATTTTTGTCCATCTCCTTGCCATCGATTGGAAAAGATCTGGCACACATTGGATGTCCGCAGGGCTCTAAGAATCTATCTCGCCCGCACTTCTTCCTTCCAGAGGCCCTCTTCATCTCCTTCCAGCCTTCGTCCATAGGCTCCCAGATCACGGCCACCACCATCGGAAGATGGCTACGGGCCACTATCTCTACAGCTTACGAGGCCCACTCTTTGCCTGTTCCCCGGAATATCACGGCTCACTCCACCAGGAATGCTGCCACGTCGGCAGCCTGGTCTACCCCAGGCACTGTTGGAGGAAGTTTGCCGTGTGGCCACTTGGACTTTGGTGACTCCTTTCATCCGGCATTACCGGTTGGATACTTATGCTTCTGCTGACGCCGCCTTCGGCAGAAGGGTGCTACAACAGGTCCGACCTGATCCCTCCCTATAGGACATCTTGCTTTGGTATGTCCCATGCCTGACTGCCATGACAGCCAATAGAAGAATGGGTGTTGGACTTACCTGATACGCCCTTTCTCTATCGGGCAGTCATAGCAGTCAGCCCCACCCTGGTCGGTTGTTCGGGGCCCGGTTGGGGTGGGTGGTCCTTTTACTTCTCTTCTTATATCTCTATAGACACGCCAGTCTGCTGGATACCTTTGCCTCAAAACTGGAGTCAAGCAGGAAGAGGTGGAGCTTAAACATTCCAGTAGACTCGGTCCTATTGGATAACAGCCGATGTCTCACCCGTGCCTGACTGCCGTGACTGCCCGATAAGAAAAGGCATATCAGGTAAGTCCAACGCCCATTCTGGGGATTGGCCAAATCTGCTCTGTCAGAGCATTATAGAGTCATGATGGTGCAGTGGTTAGAATGTAGAACTGCAGGCTACTTCTGCTGGCTGCTGGCTGCCTACAATTTGGCAGTTCGAATCTCACCAGGCTCAAGGTTAATTCAGCCTTCCATCCTTCTGAGGTGGGTAAAATGAGGACCCAGATTGTTGGGAGCAATATGCTGACTCTGCAAACTGCTTAGAGAGGGCTGTAAAGTACTGTAAAGTGGTATCTAAGTCGAAAGTGCTATTGCTAGTGCTATTACAACAAATGCAAGAGAAGGTCGGTAGTATGGAAAGCCTTTTTATCAATCAATCAGTTTATTACAGTCTTAGACCGAGACCAGAACAAATAAAAAATGCTCAGTAAATATACAATTAAAAATGCTAGTATAAAATAGCAAATAACAACTAAAATCTGTAATAAAATCCAGTCTGTCAATTATATATGGTCTAACTATACTAAAATTACAATCCATAAACTGTGTGGCCCGTTGTAGGTTCAATGCTAAAAGGGAAAAGACTAAGAATTGCAAAGGATTGCCACATTTGTTACATAACATAACTATGGTGGAGAAGACACATGTTCACAATGAACTGCCAACAACTGCTAGGTATTCTGGCCGTTCCGATACTACCTATCTTCAGTGGCTGCTTAAGGATGAACAGTGCACAACTACAGCGTAGGTGGCCAGATTCTGCACAGAATCTGGCCACCTACACTGTAGTTGTGCACTGTTCATCTTTTGTCTTGCTAGGTTGTAATCCATCTTGAATATTGAAGCTGGGGAGAAGCCTAGTTTGGCAAGGTTGGACTCAACAGCCTTAATCTATGACGAAGAGAATTTGTCTTGGAGGATTAATGGAGCAAGACTTTGGACGATCCCAAAGGAACGTCTGGCAGCGACAAACAGCAAACCGGAAGCGGTCCACCTCCCTTTTAGATCTTTCCACCCTATTGGGGTTGTAATCCATCTTGAATATTGAAGCTCCCCAAATCAATCTAAGCTCAAAGCCAGCAGGTACTTTTTAAAGGAGTATATACCAGCCTCTTACCTTTCACTTACCACAGTCCTGAAAGTTCACCAGACCTTCACATTGGTGAGGCAGGATGCATTGCTTTCTGCTATCCTCTTGTAAGGTAGGACGTAAAGTGAAATTGAATAGAAGAGTGAAATAATACAGGGTCAGCCTGAATGATCACTGAAGGGCCCCTTGACTAATTATTATAAAAGACAGTTGCTGGGTTCAAAAAGTTAAACTGCAGAGTTAACACACTTTCTACAGTTGGAGAAGTTCAAGAAGTCAAACCGCAGAGGTACCATGTTAAAATGCAGAACTAAACCACATGGAGCTTTCCTGCCTAAGGAATGAGGGAGGGGGCTAGCTAAAGAGGCAGATTTCACATTTCCTGTTTTGTTACTAACTGAAAAGTATAAAGATGCATGTCATAAAGAAGGTCTTTTGTTCAGAATGTAAATAGAATGCATGTCTGAACCTTTTGGCCAAAATAAAAAAGCTATTTCTGATCTCAAAATTCATCTCTGTTGTTTTTCTGCAACACTTGGGGTGCTAAAAATTGTTCCCTGCATCAGATATATGTCCTTGTGATGATGGTTCAGGAAATTCATTAAAAGGAATCCAATATAACTTTCATCTATTTGGAAGAGAGCATGACTTTTAATTGTTCCTTCTCCTACATGACCACTTTCTGAAGGTATTTTTCCAGCATTCCAATTCTTTCTTCTTTATGTGTCTCCTGCAGTCTGAAAATTCATACTAATGTCTTTTTTCTTTAGCTGCATTTTTCATTTTTACCTGTTTTATTTGTATTTGAAGAGCACAGATATAGCGTAGTGGTTGAAGTACTGGACTAGGAGAAAGGAAATTCAGGTTTACAACAAATGTGAGTCAGTTTGATCTAGTGCAGTGTTTCTCAACCTTGGAAGCTTGAAGATGGGTGGACTTCAACTCCCAGAATCCCCCAGCCAGCGTTGCTGGCTGGGGGATTCTGGGAGTTGAAGTCCACCCATCTTCAAGCTAACAAGGTTGAGAAACACTGATCTAGTGGTTAGGCACTGGGCTAAAAACCAGGAGATATGAGCTCTACTTCTATATTAGCATGATAGCCAGCTGGATGATTTTTGGCCATTTTTTTCTCAGCCCAGCTCACATCACAAGTTATTGTGATGGCAAACCATAACTACCTTTACAGTACTTGTTTCTCTCTGCTGGGCATAATAAAGATTTGGTTTGATTTAAGGTCTAGGAAGAAAATGTTCATTGAATCCATACGCTGCACCAATTTTGTCCATTAGAATACACAGCCTAGTAAACAGGAGTCCATGTATGAGGTTACCATGTTTGAGTGGCAAGGTCACAATGTACACTAGGAAAGCAATAGAGTTTTCAGTATGTCTTTGCTGCCATAAAGCAGCCACTAGGCTGGGGGTGAAAGGAGATTGCAAGCCAAATATGGTAGCTTTAATCTGCTACAAAAACAATGTATCCCCGGTGGATGAGAGGCAGCTTTTCTTGATATTATGCTATAATGTGTGATGTGCCTGTCTTGAAGGATAATCCTCTTATCAATTAATAATTTGTACTAGTATCTTTTTGAGACAGGGGCCTCCGTGATTGGTCCTCATTGCTCCTCCTAAAAAAGCTCTTTGCTTATGGGCTGCAGGGTTGCATCTGTTCAGCCTTCCATTCTCTGGGGAAAAGATTCTCTTTCCTTCCCCAAAGGATACCGCAGGTCAGTTCTCAAAAATAATTGCCTCTGGCGGCGCAGGCAGAGCATCTCCGCAGCCATCTCGGACCGGCGCAGGAAGAAGGCGGGGCCGATTCAAAGGCAGCCGGCGTGGTTGAGCACCCGGGGACCTCGCTATGGCGGCGACAGGCGTCCCCAGCCGTCTCCTGCTGCTACGGGGGAGACGGCGGGGAGGCTTCTTCCTCTTGCCGGGCGTAAGAAACACCACTAAGAATTGCAGCCGGGGCAGTTGCCCGAGCAACGGCAGCAGGTAGGAAATGCGAAGCGTCGGATGGTATTCAGGGAGCGTTTAGCCTTCCCCTGTTCTAGGCTGCAAAGGAGCAACGCTTGGAGGCTGTGTCTTTGCACTTGTCGAGCGGGAGGGAAAGCAGAAAGGAGTAAAGGAACCGAAGGAAGGACTGCCAAGGTAACTCAGTTGCAGGCTTCTCTCCGTCCATGAAGGTGTGACTGGAGGTTCAACCCGGTAGGGAACCGTGCGTCTGAACGCCTCCGGAACGGAAACGCTGGGTCTTATGCGCGAAAAGCGCGCTTCGCTCCAAAAGGCCCGGGAGAGAGAGAGGGGGGGGAGAGAGGTTGGGGGAGAGGGAGATAGACCTCTTGCAACGACTTCAAGGAGAGTCACAGCCCATGAGTGGCGAGGGCATTTCCGCCACAGGTTCAGCTTTGTATTTTTAGGACTGTTTATTTACTCGCTATCCAGCTCATTAAGCCGCGTGAATCCCTAATCTCTAGGTTTTGGAACTAAAGTGGAGCAGAAGAGATAAAGAAACGTGACAGCGGGGACTTGTTAATGACGACTAATCGTCATTGCATCTTCCTTCTTATGTCAAACGTATAGGTACCACAACTTGTCATGAGAAAGATATTTCAGTGGTGGATAGTTAGATGTCCAGTTTCTTGTATGCCTCTGATTTTGTAACCACATTCCTTCATTTATACGTTATGTCTAACTGTGGGTTTTATTGTTTGAAATTCATCATGGTGATATTGCTATTAGTTAGCGAATTTTCCTTTCTTTTTTGAGGAAGGATGGATTATACATTATCTAAAGGAAAATGCATTCAAAATATTTGATTTGTCCATGACGGCAGTTTTATAAATGAGCATCCCCAACAAGCCCTCTCTTGGGATGCCACATAATGATTGTTAGATTGTTTTTTAAAAGCTCTATATTCTTCATTTGTGCTGTTCCGTGCTTAATGTTGCAGCTTTCTGTCTGAATTCATAATTTTTCATTAATCAAATATTTGCAAGAACACATAGACAACTGTTTCTAAGTCACCAAAAGTAGAATAGAGCAAAGTTAGAGGGTTGGTCCTTTCTTTACTCTCTAGATTAGTAGGCAGGTAGAACAACCCATAGTTTATTTATTTTATTTATTTGTATCCTGCTTCATTATTTTTAAAAACAAGACTGTGAACATAATACTCCTTCGTGCTATTTTTGTCAGACACAAGAAATCAGGAAGCAAGGTGGCTCAAATGCAAACAAGTTTAATGCATGCTAGCACTCTCTACAAGAATCTGAACTACTAATGGTCAAAGCAAATTGCCGGCAGATAAAAGTCAACTGAATTCAAGATAGGCTTGACTTAGATCTCTTGTGGGTGCACAGGGAGTCAAGACTGATGACACGCTTGACCCCTACCTTGAGCTAAGCCTGGTCATCTCCTTTAGTTTTCCCTACAGCAATTCTGTGAGGCAAGTTGGGCTGAGAGAGAGAGAGAGACTGGCCCAAGGTCACCCAGCTGACTTTCATGGCTAAGATGGGTAGTCACTTACTTTCTAGCTTGGTACCTTAATCTTTTGCTGTTTGGAGGGAGTGAGAGTGCTTAGTGTCATTTAAAGAAATGGGAACTTTGATAAATTGAGGTAGATGGTCAGATATTAGTTTCTGTCAGGGCTGGAATACAAAATAGTCCTCGACTTTTGATCACAATTGAGCCCAAAATTTCCATGGCAAAGCAAAACAATTAAGAGAAATTTGTCCCATTTTATGACCTTTCTTACCACAATTGTTAAGTGAATCACTAACTGATAAGTTGGTAACACAGTTGTTAAGTGGCACCAGCTTCCCCTTTGACTTTGCTTGTCAAAAGGTTGCAAAAGGTGATCACGTGACATAGGGACACTGCAGCTATCATAAATATATGCCAGTTGCTAAGTGTCTGAATTTTGGTCACGTGACCATGGGGATGCTGAAATGGTCATAAGTGTGAGAAATGTTCACTTTTTTCAGTGCCGTTGTAACTTCAATCACTAAATGGTTGTAAAGTCAAGACTACCTGTAATCATAAGCATAATCATTAACAGTTTACTATTACTCACTATGATTTATTTTTCTTTTTAAAGACATCTCCGTTCAAAAGTTTTTGGCCAGTCTTGACATTCCTGCTTCATTGCTCAAATCAGATGGCAAACAAAGCATAAATGGATATTTGCTTTTATATCAACCTTAGGACTGTGCTGCATTGCATTTAAGGAACTATTTGTAATCTATCCACAAGTGGATTTGTGATCTTGTCTTTTCTTGACATAGTTCCAGGTTCAGATGTGACACCAGAGCTATCCGTATGTAATAGATAATTGACTAAATGGGAAGAACAAAGATTGCATGGATCTTAACTGCATGAGTTAAGCTTCTTGATTGATCATTGCAAAAATTGATTTATCTATCAAGGCCATTCAGAAATTTGGCACCATCAATAAGCAGTTTGCTGGCACCTTCTATTTAAGTATTTCTGCTTTGTTCCTCATTCACTTTCTAATAAGACAATATCTGAAACTGTGTTCTCCCATCCCCCCCACCCCCAATTTCACTTCCATTTGTAAACTATTTGGGAAAAACAAGCCAGGGCTGTATAGTTTGTCCAGCTTTTGCTGGCAGTAGAATCCAAACAGAAGAGAGAGAGAGAAATGTATATTGTTCCCAAGAAGAATTATTTCCTTATGATATCTAAAGAAGGCCATTATGAATAAATGCATTTCCCCCCCAGATATTCAGCAGAATAAAATTGTGGTATTTATGTTTAAATAAATTGGGACAGCTTTTTAATGAAACTGAGACATCTATAATGCTGCATTTATTTGGCTTGTAATAATTTTACTAGGGAGCCATTTGAGATTATTCTACATGTATTTGGGCGTCTATGCTTTTTACATGTAGTGTATTTTAGTCATGTTTGTATTACAGTGTTAAAACTATTTTGGAAGAATGATATGCTGTAAAATAAAGAAGGAATGTGGCTTGAAAAATATTGTACATTTATATATATTAAAACCCTGATTGCCTTTCACCTAGACCAATGTTTATGCTAAAAATATAAATTTACACTTTAAAGCAGCAGAAGTGACATAGGAACAATTTAACTTTTTGTATCCCCCCTCTAATACATACGGAAGGGAGTATTGGAACTGATGATGGGCTCCAGGACAAGCCCTAAAGCTTGGAAGAATAAACCTTTGGTCCTGATGACCAACTCAGATTGGATTCTTCAAGTTTATCCTGGGACATGTATATTTATCTTCATTTGCGAGTATGGGAACTCTGACACATATTATTGCTGTGTTTTGTATGGCTTAAATGTTTAATTCATATGCACATATCTACAAATATCTGGGGTTAAAAAAAGATCTCTTTAGCATAATAAGTGTGCTAGAGGGCAATTTGTATCATTCCTAACTATGAAGAATACAAGATACTGATCTTGCTAATTGACAATTGTTATCCAGATAAAATAGCACTGTTTTGAAGAAAAAGGGTAAAAACAAAATAGATAAGAGATCCTGGTTGAATTCAGCCTTGCAGGTTCACTGGGTGAGCTTAGAGTTGTCATTTTCTAAGACCAGTCTAATAAAGTGATTGTGGGGAAGAGTGAGAGGAGGGAGCACTAGTATTGTTCTTCTTTGAAGTTGACCACGCTATAAAACAGACTCCAGAAGAACTACTGGAACTGTTCTTTATTGGTATTTTATTTTTATTTTATTTATAATTAAATTTATATACCACCCTACTCCTGAAGGGCTCAGGGCGGTAAACAACCAGAAAGTAAAATATACATAATACAAATGTTTAAAAACCCTTTAAAATACATTAAATACATTGGCCAGATTTAAAACACCCCAATTATAAAACCAATTTAAAAACAATTAAAAAGGGAGGTTAGGCCAGACCAGCCTGCTGGAATAAGAATGTTTTGAGGGCACGGCGGAAATTGCGCAGATCCAGGATCCTCCGTATCTCCGGGCGGAGCTCGTTCCAGATGGCAGGTGCCCTCACAGAGAAGGCTCTCCCCCTGGGGGCCGCCAGTCAACATTGTTTGACCGACGGCACTCTGAGAAGACCCTCTCTATGGGAGCATACTAGTCGGTGAGAGGCTATACCCCGGTCCTAAGCCATGGAGCGCTCTAAAGGTGGTAACCAAGGTATAAGGTTTATAGCAATAAAAAAAGTTTACAGTAGTTTTTCTGGAGTCTGTTTTCTAATCTGGCCAACTTCAAAGAAGGACAGTATAAGACAGTAGCAGAATATCTTACATTATATGCTATTCTGCCACTATAACCTATATTAATAAACTAAAGTTCTAGTAGATCTTCTGGAGTCTTTTTAATGATTTTGCATGGATGATAGACAGGCAGGCAGACACAGACAGACAGACAGACAGACAGACAGACAGACAGACAGACATGATGTATAGATACTTAGAAAGATAGATTTGAACCCTGAATGGAGGGCTGGATATATATAAATCACTCAAACTAACAAATAAAATTATGACTGATCTCTAATCATTAGAAATTCTTAATCCACCTAAAAAATCTCTGAATTTTATAGGCAATAATTTTTCAGAAATTAATGGCATAGAAATGTGTTTACTTTTCGTCCTGGTGTTGTCTGTAATCAGTTGAGCCCTGGTTGAATGAGGAAAATATTAGACTTTGGAATATAACAGGGCTTAGAGCTGGAAAGATGTGGCTTGTCCATTACATATTCTTTTTGTATACATTAAAGATTAGAATTTATGTAGTGATTTAACTAAGTGAAGAATAGAAAAGATGCTATTTGAAATTTTCTAAAAACATTTCAGTAGAAATAAAAGAAGAGGTAGACAGTTTTACATCTATACATAGTTTTTTTGTTTGTTTGTGAGTTATACTTCTTCTGCATGTTTATATTTTTAAAATGGTGGCTTGCAAAAGTGTTTGCTGAACAATATGCTAACTTAATAATTTATGTTATTAATAATTTGTT